ATGCTGGGAATTTGGACCAACAATCAGCAAAATGAAGACAAAGGTTATGGTGCAAGGTGTCAATGATAGACGTGCAATCTACATTGATGGTGAAGAGCTTAAGACAGTAGACCATTTAACCTATATTGGCTCCACAGTGAATAAAAAACTATCGCTGGACCAAGAAATCAACATCAGGATAGGTGAGACAGCAACAAGAATGAGCAGATTGACAAAGAGAGTTTAGGAGAACAGAAAGCTCATGATTAAAACAAAAACCCTTGTCTATCAGGCTTGTGTTCTCAGCACTCTGCTTTATGGCAGTGAAACCTGGTCAACTGATTTGCTTCTGGAGAGATGGCTAAATACATTTCTTATGAAATGCCTAAGAAGAATACTTGGCCTTAAATGGCAAGACCAGATACCAAATACTGAGGTATTGGAAAGCGCAGGCACTACAACAGTGGTCTCAATGCTCAGTCTTTGAAGATTCAGGTGCTTGGGTCACTCCCGGAGAATGGAGAATTGCATAGTCCCTTAACACATCCTCTACAGTGAATTAAAGATGGGTAGAAGATGTTGAGAGATGCCTGTTCTATGATATAAAGATGTGTGTAAATGGGACATGAATGATACAAGTACTGATTTAGATATGTAGGAACACAATTAAATTACCTGTGTTGAGTGGAGGAGGCAAACCAGGAAGGGAATGAGAAAGAATGAACAAATTGATTGTTGAAAGGGTGCGAGCTGAGCATCTGAGTAGAAGTACACTATATACATGTGATGGCATCAACAATCCTGAAATCCCACGCTCTAATTGTGGAAGACTTTACCTAATGCATCACCAACGGACGTAGAGAGAGGGTACCTGTTGCCTGGGCAACCGTCTGTACTCTAAATCAAAATTGCCAGGCCTGTGCCCTGGAGAGGTACAGTCATAGTAGATGCTGTTGCCAAAGCCAGCTGCACAACCCCATGGTCCCTTGGGACCCAAAGCCAGCGGCACAACCCCATTGTCTCTTAGTACCCAAAGCCAGCAACACAACCCCCTTGGGACCCAAAGCCAGCAGCACAACCCCATGGTCCCTTGGGACCCAAAGCCAGCGGCACAATCCCATGGTCCCTTGGGACCCAAAGCCAGCGGCACAACCCCATGGTCCCTTGGGACCCAAAGCCAGCGACACAACCCCATGGTCCCTTGGGACCCAAAGCCAGCAGCACAACCCCATGGTCCCTTGGGACCCAAAGCCAGCGGCACAATCCCATGGTCCCTTGGGACCCAAAGCCAGCGGCACAACCCCATGGTCCCTTGGGACTGACGGATGCCATTAGTCATTAGTTAGTTTCTTCATGCAGGTGGGTGTTGCTAGTCAAGTCACACTCACCAACACCATAAGCGGCTGTGAGTCCCATGCCAACATATTGCACATTAAAACACTATCATCTGGAAACAAAGAAAGGGGCCAACAACAACAACAAAACTGTTTTGTCTAGAAAGCAGAAACATTTTGTCTAACTGTTCTATTTAGACAGTTGATATTTTCTATCTAACTGTTCTATTTAGACAGCTGATATTTTTTGTCCTAATGTTTTATTTAGACAGCTGATATTTTCCATCTGTTCTATTTAGACAGCTGATTATTTTCCATCTAACTGTTCTGTTTAGACAGCTGATAATTTCTGTCTGTTCTCTTTAGACAGCTGATATTTTCTGTCTGTTCTCTTTAGACAGCTGATATTTTTTTGTCTAACTGTACTATTAAGACAGCTGATATTTTCACTTGTCTAATTGTTCTATTTAGACAGCTGATTATTTTCCATCTAATTGTTCTGTTTAGACAGCTGATATTTTCTGTCTGTTCTCTTTAGACAGCTGATATTTTCCATCTAACTGTTCTCTTTAGACAGATGATATTTTCACTTGTCTAATTGTTCTATTAAGACAGCTGATATTTTCACTTGTCTAACTGTTCTATTTAGACAGCTGATATTTTCACTTGTCTAACTGTTCTATTTGGACAGCTGATTATTTTCCATCTAACTGTTCTGTTTAGACAGGTGATATTTTCTGTCTGTTCTCTCTAAACAGCGGATATTTTCCATCTAACTCTTCTCTTTAGACAGCTGATATTTTCTGTCTGTTCTCTTTAGACAGGTGATATTTTCTGTCTGTTCTCTTTAGACGGCTGATATTTTCTGTCTGTTCTCTTTAGACAGCTGATATTTTCTGTCTAACTGTTCTTTTGAGACAATTGATATTTTCACTTGTCTAACTGTTCTATTTAGACAGCTGATATCATGAGCAAGCGGACCAACTGGCAGGCAAAGTACCAAAACTGTGGAAAGAAGCATGGACAGAGCAGATATCGTCAATGGTGTGCTGACTGGGCTAGTGGATAACGACAAATCTCTGACACTAACACAGTTGCATGACATGGGAGTAAAGCATGGTGAAGCACGTCTATGCCGCTTTTGAGGCCGAAATAGGAGACATTATAACCAACTTCTCATGGGAACGATTGGTAGAAGTACCTTGGAGTGGCTGCTGCATTGGAGGACAGAGCACGTGTGAGTAAGCTCAGTGTGCAGTGACGTCATTTGTGATAACATAACTGTTATAACTACACAGCTGATATTTTCAATCTAACTATTTCATCTAAGTATTCTATCTAGACACTTGATATTTTCAACTGTGTAGTCGTTCTATCTTGACAGTTCATATTTCAATCTAACTGTTCTATCTAGACACTTGATATTTTCAATACAACTGTTCTATCTAGACGGCTGATATTTCCAGTTATTCTGTTGAGACAGTTGATATTTTAATCTAACTGTTCTATCTAGACACTTGATATTTTCAAAACAACTGTTCTATCTAGACACTTGATATTTTCAATACAACTGTTCTATCTAGACGACTGATATTTTCAGTACAACTGTTCTATCTAGACGGCTGATATTTTCAATACAACTGTTCTATCTAGACGGCTGATATTTTCAATACAACTGTTCTATCTAGACGGCTGATATTTTCAATACAACTGTTCCATCTAGACGGATGATATTTTCAGTTATTCTGTTGAGACACTTGATATCTCCAAGTACATAATTACCATTTCAACCATAAAATACTTTCTATACAAACACTAGACTTACTTTCCATCGTCACCCTTCCCTCGTTCCTCTTCTCCACCTTTGCCTCCAAGGCCACGCAGTCTGCCCACCAGCTCCGGCTTTCTCTTGAGGGCCAGGAAGAGGACCACAGTGATGATGAGAACAAGGATGAGGATGCCGATGATAATGCCGGCCAGTGTCCCAGATCCCAGACTGGCAGATCCTGCAAGAACATAGATGTCAACTTGTAATGTCATCTCAGATGTATCATCAGAACAATTCATGTCATGTGGGTGTTTGATAGAGACATAAATCATAGTTTTTTAGCATTCAGTAATATCAACAACAACGATTCTCAGTAAGGCATAATTGACTAAACATTCAATCAAATATGCAATAAATATAGCACACAAACACAATGTTAAACACCACCAAGGTATTGTCACACATACACTGACAAGCTGTGAATAACAATTTTGATCTAAAGCTGGTGTGCAAATATTTAAACAGCTTAAGTAAATGTATGTTTAGAGATGAAACACTTTCTAACAGAAACTGCACATCTGACATTTTCATTTATGTGTGCTTTATATATCATTACATGTAGAGGAGGAGTTGAAAGGGGGGGGGGGGGATTTAAGGGGGAGTTGAGGGGGGGGGGGGGGTTGAGGGGGAGTTGAGGGGGGGGGGGGTTGAGGGGGAGTTGAGGGGGGGGGGGGGGGTTGAGGGGGAGTTGAGGGGGGGGGGTTGAGGGGGAGTTGAGGGGGGGGGGTTTGAGGGGGAGTTGAGGGGGGGGGGGGGTTTGAGGGGGAGTTGAGGGGGGGGGGGGGGTTAGAGAAAGAGATGTTTTACTAAACATAATTTTGCACTTTTTCCAAGACTTTCTAATTCTAAATTGTGTGCATAAAACTCAAAACTGACCAATATCATACAATACAAATTTAGTCCAGGTTTAGCATCTCCCACCAATAAACACCTAGCAATGTCTGTCCTTTTGACATTAAAATCACAGTAGAAGAAACCATTGTGTAAGTATATAGACTGACAAATGATACAGTAGAGATTCTCAACCATGGAGACACAGACAAAAAAAAGAGAAAAAATAAAAAAAATAAAAATTCAAGCATACATACAGATTAAAACATATATCAGATAAAGTGAACGATGGGGAAAACACACAACAATACACATACACAAAACTAATAAGGTAAAATCAACACTAGGAAAGTCTATACAACAGCGATTTTCGGATCTATGAGGAAATGTTAGAGGCAGCTCAATGAGTGTACAGGCAGTTACACATTGTGGGTTGTCAGAGGCAACTAAATGCGTGTACAGGCAGTTAGACATTGTGGGTTGTCAGAGGCAGCTCAATGGGTGTACAGGCAGTTAGACATTGTGGGTTGTCATAGGCAGCTCAATGGGTGTACAGGCAGTTAGACATTGTGGGTTGTCATAGGCAGCTAAATGGGTGTACATGCAGTTAGACATTGTGGGTTGTCATAGGCAACTCAGTGGGTTTACAGGCAGTTACATATAGTGGGTTGTCAGAGGCAGCTCAATGGGTTTACAGGCAGTTAGACATAGTGGGTTGTCAGAGGCAGCTCAGTGGGTGTACAGGCAGTTAAACATTGTGGGTTGTCAGAGGCAGCTCAGTGGGTGTACAGACAGTTAAACATAGTGGGTTGTCAGAGGCAGCTCGATGGGTGTACAGGCAGTTACACATTGTGGGTTGTCAGAGGCAGCTCAATGGGTAAACAGGCAGTTACATATAGTGGGTTGTCAGAGGCAGCTCAGTGGGTACACAGGCAGTTAGTCATTGTGGGTTGTCAGAGGCAGCTCAGTGGGTGTACAGACAGTTAAACATAGTGGGTTGTCAGAGGCAGCTCGATGGGTGTACAGGCAGTTACACATTGTGGGTTGTCAGAGGCAGCTCAATGGGTAAACAGGCAGTTACATATAGTGGGTTGTCAGAGGCAGCTCAGTGGGTACACAGGCAGTTAGTCATTGTGGGTTGTCAGAGGCAGCTCAGTGGGTAAACAGGCAGTTACACATAGTGGGTTGTCAGAGGCAGCTCAATGGGTGTACAGGCAGTTAAACATTGTGGGTTGTCAGAGGCAGCTCAGTGGGTAAACAGGCAGTTACACATAGTGGGTTGTCAGAGGCAGCTCAATGGGTGTACAGGCAGTTAAACATAGTGGGTTGTCAGAGGCAGCTCAATGGGTAAACAGGCAGTTACACATTGTGGGTTGTCAGAGGCAGCTCAGTGGGTGTATAGGCAGTTACACATTGTGGGTTGTCAGAGGCAGCTCAGTGGGTAAACAGGCAGTTAGACATAGTGGATTGTCAGAGGCAGCTCAGTGGGTAAACAGGCAGTTAGACATAGTGGGTTGTCAGAGGCAGCTCAGTGGGTAAACAGACAGTTAAACATAGTGGGTTGTCAGAGGCAGCTCAGTGGGTAAACAGGCAGTTAGACATAGTGGGTTGTCAGAGGCAGCTCAGTGGGTAAACAGGCAGTTAGACATAGTGGGTTGTCAGAGGCAGCTCAATGGGTAAACAGGCAGTGACACATTGTGGGTTGTCAGAGGCAGCTCAATGTGTAAACAGGCAGTGACACATAGTGGGTTGTCAGAGGCAGCTCAATGGGTAAACAGGTAGTGACACATTGTGGGTTGTCTGAGGCAGCTCAATGGGTAAACAGGCAGTTAGACATAGTGGGTTGTCTGAGGCAGCTCAATGGGTAAACAGGCAGTTAGACATAGTGGGCTGTCAGAGGCAGCTCGATGGGTAAACAGGCAGTTACACATAGTGGGTTGTCAGAGGCAGCTCAATGGGTGTACAGGCAGTTAGACATAGTGGGTTGTCATAGGCAACTCAGTGGGTTTACAGGCAGTTACACATAGTGGGTTGTCAGAGGCAGCTCAGTGGGTGTACAGGCAGTTACACATTGTGGGTTGTCAGAGGCAGCTCAGTGGGTGTACAGACAGTTAAACATAGTGGGTTGTCAGAGGCAGCTCAGTGGGTAAACAGGCAGTTACACATTGTGGGTTGTCAAGGCAGCTCAATGGGTAAACAGGCAGTTACATATAGTGGGTTGTCAGAGGCAGCTCAGTGGGTACACAGGCAGTTAGTCATTGTGGGTTGTCAGAGGCAGCTCAGTGGGTAAACAGGCAATTACACATAGTGGGTTGTCAGAGGCAGCTCAGTGGGTAAACAGGCAGTTAGTCATTGTGGGTTGTCAGAGGCAGCTCAGTGGGTAAACAGGCAGTTACACATAGTGGGTTGTCAGAGGCAGCTCAGTGGGTACACAGGCAGTTAGTCATTGTGGGTTGTCAGAGGCAGCTCAGTGGGTAAACAGGCAGTTACACATAGTGGGTTGTCAGAGGCAGCTCAGTAGGTAAACAGGCAGTTACACATAGTGGGTTGTCAGAGGCAGCTCAGATGGTAAACAGGCAGTTAGACATAGTGGGTTGTCAGAGGCAGCTCAGTGGGTAAACAGACAGTTAAACATAGTGGGTTGTCAGAGGCAGCTCAATGGGTAAACAGGCAGTTACACATTGTGGGTTGTCAGAGGCAGCTCAATGGGTAAACAGGCAGTTAGACATAGTGGGTTGTCAGAGGCAGCTCAATGGGTGTACAGGCAGTTAGACATAGTGGGTTGTACGAGGCAGCTCAATGGGTAAACAGGCAGTTAGACATAGTGGGTTGTCAGAGGCAGCTCAATGGGTAAACAGGCAGTTACACATAGTGGGTTGTCAGAGGCAGCTCAATGGATGTATAGGCAGTTAGACATAGTGGGTTGTCAGAGGCAGCTCAATGGGTAAACAGGCAGTTACACATAGTGGGTTGTCTGAGGCAGCTCAATGGGTAAACAGGCAGTTAGACATAGTGGGTTGTCTGAGGCAGCTCAATGGGTGTACAGGCAGTTAGACATAGTGGGTTGTCATAGGCAACTCAGTGGGTTTACAGGCAGTTACACATAGTGGGTGTACAGGCAGTTACACATTGTGGGTTGTCAGAGGCAGCTCAGTGGGTGTACAGACAGTTAAACATAGTGGGTTGTCAGAGGCAGCTCAATGGGTGTACAGGCAGTTACACATTGTGGGTTGTCAGAGGCAGCTCAATGGGTAAACAGGCAGTTACATATAGTGGGTTGTCAGAGGCAGCTCAGTGGGTACACAGGCAGTTAGTCATTGTGGGTTGTCAGAGGCAGCTCAGTGGGTAAACAGGCAATTACACATAGTGGGTTGTCAGAGGCAGCTCAGTGGGTACACAGGCAGTTAGTCATTGTGGGTTGTCAGAGGCAGCTCAGTGGGTAAACAGGCAGTTACACATAGTGGCAGTTGCAGTTAGTCATTGAGGCAGCTCAATGGGTGTGTACAGGCAGTTACACATTGTGGGTTGTCAGAGGCAGCTCAGTGGGTAAACAGGCAGTTACATATAGTGGGTTGTCAGAGGCAGCTCAGTGGGTACACAGGCAGTTAGTCATTGTGGGTTGTCAGAGGCAGCTCAATGGGTAAACAGGCAATTACACATAGTGGGTTGTCAGAGGCAGCTCAGTGGGTACACAGGCAGTTAGTCATTGTGGGTTGTCAGAGGCAGCTCAGTGGATAAACAGGCAGTTACACATAGTGGGTTGTCAGAGGCAGCTCAATGGGTGTACAGGCAGTTACACATTGTGGGTTGTCAGAGGCAGCTCAGTGGGTAAACAGGCAGTTACATATAGTGGGTTGTCAGAGGCAGCTCAGTGGGTACACAGGCAGTTAGTCATTGTGGGTTGTCAGAGGCAGCTCAGTGGGTAAACAGGCAATTACACATAGTGGGTCAGAGGCAGCTCAATGGTAAACAGGCATTACAACATAGGTTGTCAGCTCAGTGGGTACACAGGCAGTTAGACATTGTGGGCTTGTCAGAGGCAGCTCAGTGGGTAAACAGGCAGTTACACATAGTGGGTTGTCTGACATAGTGGGACATTGTCAGAGGCAGCTCAATGGGTTGTACAGGCAGTTACACATTGGGTCAGGGTGGGTTGTCAGTGTGGTTGTCAGGGCAGCTCATGTGGGTAAACAGGCAGTTACACATAGTGGGTTGTTCAGAGGCAGCTCAGATGGTAAACAGGCAGTTAGTACATAGTGGGTTGTCAGAGGCAGCTCAATGGGTAAACAGGCAGTTAGACATAGTGGGTTGTCAGAGGCAGCTCAATGGGTAAACAGGCAGTTACAC